ACACACACACACACACACACACACACACACACACACACACACACACACACACACAAACACACACATGTCTGGTTTGTATATCCCCGTGGGGACCATGCATTGACTTCCATTCATTTACTGGTCATTTCTTCAGCCTAACCTAAGAAATCCAAATAAACCTCCAAAACTTAGAAGAAGCACGCTACACCAATTCTGTAGCTGTGGAAACTGCTWAAAGTAAACAAGAACCTTACAATTTACAACAAAAGAACTGCCTTTATTCTGTTTCAACTTCAAATATGTGCTGAGTAAAACTGCAACAGCAACCGATACAAGGATACGAACACATTTAACCCCAAACTTTATTTGAAAGTCTCTTAAAACTCAGTCTGCCACGTGCGTTTTTTTTTGTAGGTGCAAAAAAATCCTACAAACATTGTAAACTAAATCACACTGTGACACAGGGACCATTCATTTGTCTTGTTTCATCAGGTAATATTGTAACGTGAGTCTTTCTCATCCCCAGCTGTTTGTTTTCACCGATGGCAAGGTGTATAACACTAACATGGTTCTAGATGAGGTGAAGACAAACTCTGATTCTCACAGGTGAAGCCAGAGTACTTGTCTTCCTGAAATGTCCTCCATATCATTTATAAACATGGACAAAAGCTTCATCTCTGTGCTGCAGGTGTTTCACCTTTGGGATCGGAGAAGGRGCCAGCTCAGTTCTCATCAACTGGATGGCGAGAGAAGGAAGAGGTCACGCTCAGTTCATCACAGGAACTGAAAGGATGCAGCCAAAAGTAAGCTATTATAGTAAAGAATTTAAAAAAATCAGAGTTGAATTCAGCTGTAGATTTTATTTCCTTTGTTAGGTGATGCAGTCATTACGATTCGCACTCCAGCCACTWGTTGATGACATATCAGTCACGTGGGATTTACCAAATGGAGTGTCAGCCACCATCCTGTCTCCACCAATCAAAATGCTTTTCCTTGGTCAGCGGTCACTCGTTTATGYCCAGCTCAGTGGAGTGGTAGGAGCTGTACAAATCAAAACAATTTATTGGCTCTAAATGTACTTTCAGTCTGAATAACAACATTTCTGCTCGTCAGTCTCAGAGTTCAGAGGCGGCACGGGGCTGTTTCACAGTGAATTACACCGTAGCAGGTCATCCTGCTCAGAACCAGCTGGGCTTCAGCCTCCAGCCTGCAGAGGAGACCAGACTGGACACAGAGCAGAAAGATCATCTGCCGTGTACCCGGTAATAACTGTAAAACTAGGGGGGGTTAAAAAGTGTCAGTTTATTAAAATATGCTTATTAATTTTCTCCTGTTGATTTTCTGTTTCCATCACCATTTGTGTCTCATCGTTCCTCCCGCAGCTTTGACAAAACCTACACAGAAAAATATCTAAAAAYATGCAGCTCAAAAAGATTTTGGCTAAACAAGTGAGGAAAACAAATCAAAATCCCCAAAACGAGATGGGGACATTAGCATTWTTAGCAGGATGTTACAGCTCCACAATGTCTTATGGTCTATTTTCACTTCTATACTCTTACTGAACTATGTGACCGGTTTGGACAGGGGTGTTCAATCTTGGTCCTCAAAGGTCATTCATTCATTCATTCATTCATTCATTCATTCATTCATTCATTCATGCATGTGTATTGGAGCAGAGAAACTTTTAAAATGTGCAGGATAGTGGTTGACTAACGTGCAAAACATGAAGAGATAATTCACTCAGTGAATCAGGTGTGTTGGAGCAGGGGGATAAGTAAAGCATGCAGGACTGTGGCCCTTGAGGCTCAGGATTGGACACCCCTATTCTAGAGCATAATGTAGTGGATGGAAAAACTACAATTAAATTTCAAACAGCTCTTTAAAATGTCTGAATCATGCTATGGTGCACCCATAGGCTTGAATAAGATCACTAG